ATATTATAGCTAGTAGTACACTCTAGAATCTCCAGCCAAACGCGTATAAAATACTTTTCTAACCCAAATTCGATCAGTTAATTAAGATTGGGATTTAATTGAAATCTTATGAGAAGCATTAACTTTTTTAGAAGGACTACGTAGGAATATTTGTGTTAAAAGACTATATTTAATATATAAAAAGAAAATATATATATATGAAAAGAGAGATTCAAACTTCAAGCTTTAAATGATTCTCTTACCAGAGAACAAAGAGAGATTAAAATTTGAGTGTAAAATAACTATACAATATTTTAATTAACCAATCTAATTTACATTTACGTTAAGAAATACTACGAAACTATTAGATTTACCTTTTGTGATTATCCACAAGCTATTACTAAGTAGAGATGTGAAAGAAGCCAATAATTAGTAAAAGTTTATGATAATGCAATGGCAATCAATGGTATGTAGTTTCGTCTCGTGGAAGTCACTTCGGCCTCCGTCCCCACTGACCAGAAAATGAATGACCTCTCTCTATCTATTTTGCTTTTGAATAATTATTTAATTACTTCACTCGCCAGAAATACAATAACCCTAAAAATTAACATTTAGTAACTTTTTATTTAAACTTTTCTTTGTGACTCCTATTTTATTTCTTTTATACAACATAAGTAACTGAAATAATTGGGTCTGGTTCTTGACCCTTATATAGTATACGTATCGTGTTTGGAAAGATACTCCAATTCTTCATATATCTGAGTTACACTGACCGTTTCGTTAAGAGAGTTATTTTTCTTTGTCATTATATTAATCTTGCAAAAATCTGAAGAAATGTTACCCTACATGATTGGATGAACTGAAAAGTCCTCCCACTTGGTGGGGGGGGGGGGGCCGCAACAAGTTCTGGAACCCTACTCTTTCCCTTTTAGTATGTGAACTGCAAAGGGATGCTTCTTCAAACGTAGGATAAGGGTCAAACTGCCAATTGCATGTCTCAAGCACAAGGCAAGTTGTGCGTTGGAAAGTCTGCGGAGTTTGTGGTACCATGCATTTGAATTGTCTGAGTTTTTTTTTTCGAAGTCTTTTTTGACCTTCGACACGTCTAATTAATGTCTTGGGGAAGAAGAGGAGAACCAGGCATCATGGCCCATAGGCCGAAGGAGGTGCCTTTTTTGAAGGGGCCGAAGGTTCATGCCCTAAAACTCTTGGAACCAATCAAGTCAAATAACATCCGATTCTAATTTTCTTTTGACACGGGGCCATATTCTAAACTACATGTTTTAACTTACGTAAATAACGTTTGAGCGAAATATCTAATTATTATAATCTATTGATTTATTAAGTGTTCAATTATAAGAAAAAAAGTTTGTCATTTAATTCAAATGTAAAGAGACAGGCAGGATAAACTAGCCTAACCCACCTATACTGATTTGGATGCTAAATGACATCGGATAGCATTCAGAAGTTGAATCTATGTAAAAGTACAAATTTAAAAATAAAAACATTTCCGACCTACCGGATTCGAACCAGTGACCTAAGGATATCTGATGGATATTACCAACTACAGTCCTCCGCTCTACCAACTGAGCTAAGGTCGGTTTGTATTCATACCTTAAGTTTTCTTCTATTTATATCATGAACATGTTATTTAAATAAAATATGCTGCCTGTACTGACGATTTTGTGGGGTATCGTCATGGTTCAAATATGATATTGTATTACTAATTATGTACTTTTAAAGAAAAAAATTACGAAAAGTATGAAAAGAAGAACAGAAGAAGAAACAAGTTTCACAAAATGGCCATACGGAATCAAAGAAATCCCGTATGGTGAAAAAGAAAATCACTAATTTGTCATATATTCATTACAAATACGATTAAAGTACTTAATCACATGAACATTCATACGTAGTGCATGCTACTAGAAGATCAAAGTTTTATCAAATCCAACCTACACGTAAAGGCTCCAAATTAAAATAAGAACCGAAAAATAAATCCGTAAACTAGGACCGATTGATCATCAAGAAACTGCAACCTCATTTCTGTTGTTATTCATTAGCTAGGAAGAACCTGGTAGGCCTCGCCTGGAACTTTCTCCTTCTCCGAGGATCATGTTCTGAGGGATTTATTTGAAGGAGGAGGCATCCCTTTATGGCACTACGTTTTTCGACGATTGCAGGATCATCACAAATTATGACCTGTTTATGTGAATTTCTGTGCAAACTGCACCGGAAAGATCCTGGGTGTGTGGTCGGTGAACATGAACATGTACGGTTTGAGGTGTGTGATTTTGGATTGGGGGTTGCTTTTTTTGAGGCCATGGAATAGCTCAACCACTAATGACTATCTTTTTTTGTGATTAAATTTTTTTTATCAAAACAAATGACAGGTTTGGAGTTCGGGTCTTTTATAGAGCTTGCTAGGGTTTACAATTACCTTAGTAACCTTTTCTAATTGTTGCATTAGCCTATAATTTTCTTTAATCAACTGATGATATTTCAAGTAATTAGAAAAATGGATATCCAACAAAAAAAAACAAGTAAAGAAAATGGATATAACGAATTTGTATGAAGTTACTTGTAAGTTGGAACTTGCAAACTACAAACCTCTGTAAATGCTTGAATATAGGCAATTTTGTTTATCTCATTTTAATCTTTGGTACACAATTACTTTTAAAACGGTTATAGTAAAACGAAAAAAAAGCATCCTAATTAAGATTATACATAGGATTATACTGTACCTTTCTAAACGCCTGCCTGTGCTTGTTAACGTATCTAATTAGTTAATTTGTTGTCTACATGTCAAGAAATCTGTTAGGGCAAGCTAATTGGTTTCCTTATGTTATTCTTAATCAGAATTATTTCGTGGTTGTTCCCGGAATTTTGAATTGAATGGTGTTTTTTGAAGAATATTTATGGCTATTAGTTCAAATACTTTGCGGGATCAGTCGCTGGTTACATGAGGAATATATAAGTAATATTCTCTTACCAAATATATACAAAGAGTACGGACATGATATCTCTTAACACTCTTATGTTCACTTTGTATTAGAAGATACACACTCTTAGCTTATAGCTCACGTTAAGGAGAAATTTTTCATTTTGACCGCAAAATGGGTAGTACACTACGTGTTTTTATATAAGTGATAGAAAAATTTTATTTTTTAAGTTATTAACTTTTTAACACATATCACATCATTTGTATAATCTCGTGTTCTAGTCACACAATTTTATTTTTATTTTTTAAGTTATTAAATAAAAATTTTATTTATGCATATTTTTTTTTAGTTTTTTTTTTTTTAACAAACGATATTATTTACACTAAGGGGAAAATGATAGACTTAGCCTCACAATGAGCTAGCAATAATGTGGTTCAAATTCGCTTTTGGTGAGAATCGAACCTAACAACTCTCACTTACAAGTGAAGTGGAATACCATTAGACCATAATACTCTGTGGCTAATGGAGATTCTAGCAATAAGTAGGTATAATATACAAAAAATTGATGGTACATTACTCAAATGTAGATCCAAGGAAAAAGGACCAAAAAAAAAAAAAAAAAAAAAAAAAAAAGGAAGCTTTGCTTGCTTGTTGTATATGCAAATTTAAATGTTCTGCGCCCTATCATGGAGTCCGGAATGCATGGGAGTTCTCGTGGAGGAGGACAACCCCACCTCTGCAGGTTGTTCTAGCCAAACCCTAGAAGACAAAACCTTTTTGGTATAGACACGGTGTCTTCGTTCCCGGGCATAGATTACCCAGAAGATCAAGGACAACATTACAGCTGTAGATACCAAAAACAAGCCAATGTACATCCAGGCACTATGTATTCGCAAAGCGGGGCAATGATCTCTACTTATGTCCGAGAACGCATCCCTAACAAATGTGCAGTCTATGAGATCAAGAAAGAAGGGACTGTAACGATAGAGAGCGTAGCTAACATTGACGAAGGCGGACAATTGGTCGTAGTAGTTTGGAGTTAACCGACCAGGAGTTATACAAACATTCGCTGGCGAAGATTGACACACATACTTCTTCCACACCTGTTTGAGGCAAATATTACAGAAGGTAGGTCAGATTTAGACACTAGGAAAAGCTATAAAGCTTATACTTTGTGTCTAGTGATTGTGTAACATGGTATCAGATGTCTGGTTGCAGCTAGGAGGTCTTGCATTCAAAACTTTTGAATAACTTGTGACACAAGCAAAGAAATCCATATATGCTTTAGCTTAGAAATGGATGCTAGCTATTAGGCTTCTTCCATTCATTATTCCTATTTTTTATTTGTACCTCTTGAGCATCTTGCATTTGAATTTCACCATCGACACACTTTCGCTCGTTGCGATTTTCATCAAAGGGGTTGCAAAGAAGCGGCAAAGGTGGGCCGGTCTGGTTGAAGTGCAAGGGACCATTAGCCGGGGAATTAGTATTTGCAATATCGGTGACAACACGGTTGAGCACAAAAACAGCATAGAAGGTTGCATCCCTAGTCCGCGACAAGGCCTCCTGGGCCATGTTTTTGTTCACACATGGAAGTATATCATCTAAGGCAGTATGAGCTGTGGGGTTCTTCTGCACCCACTCATTCATTGAAACACATGCATCTGCAAACACACTAACAATTATGCACATAGGAAATCAAGTCAGAAAACCAGAAGAACAAAAAAATAAACTTAGCAAGTAATCTTACTGACATCGGTGGCAGATGAAGTGACAAAAGCTTTTAGCCTGATAACATGTCCGTTAATTATAGGGACTGGTACTGCTTTAAGCCACGTTATTCAGTGCCACTAATGTCAGTGATTATGGATGATGTTTTCTTGCAACGATTAAACAACACTTACTTATGGACAAGGAGAAATACACCACACAAAATGAATGTTCCTGTGACGAGAATCCACCCAAGAATTACCAAACTGCATCAATGTGCAAGTGTTTGTTAAAGGACAAAGACATAGAAATTCTACCAAAATTTGGAGATCTGAAAAATGAACACGAAACAGTTCTAGGTGTATACGTTACTTACATGTATACAAGACATTCCATCCCAAAAATGGAAACCACTGCAACAATTTTAGTCCAAAAGAAGAACAGAGAGATTAATAAGGGATAATTTTTAAAGTCAATTTTTTTGGAAATTTCTATCTCAAAACGAAAAGGAAAAAAGGACTTACAAAATCCAACAAAGACCAAACAAAGCATAACAGCAGCAAGAACAATGAGAGCTAGTCTCCTGCAAAACATAGCAACAGAAAAATTAATGTTATCCAAATTATTAAGCATTGTGAGCAAAACTTGGAAGAAGTTGCAGTAGAGTTATATGGTTACAGGATATCCAAGCCATCTTCTATACGCTTCGAATTCATTACGGTTGTATCAGAGAGTATATTGGCAGCATTTTTTATGGTTCCCATAACACCATCAATACTCTGCTGAATGTCTGCCGGAAGAACAATGGCGTCGATACCAATCTTCTTAGCTGCATCGAGATAGTCTGACACATTCCTGAGGTTTTCGGCAGTCTTATCTGCCTGCCCCACGACGTATCCAAGCGTGCTGCACGTGCTGCCGTGGAACCTGTCCTGGCCAGTGTAGAGCACAGCACATCCCATAATTGCCATGAGTGTGAAGAAAATGAGGATGGAGAGTGAGAGAACATATGCTACTCTAGAATAGCCATACGGCTCTTTCCGACAGCAACAGTAGCAGAAGCAGATGAGCAACAGGCTTATCCCGAACAGCACGAACCACACAACGGCAGTGACGAAGAAGGGCGCCGCTGTGAAACCAACAGACTGCGTCATAAAACAAAACAATAATCAGTGTAAAAAATTGAGCAGCAGTGTAACCAATAATCCATACGTTTAAAATTAAACAACACTATGAAAAGCATAAAGAAAGAATAGGAAACCACATTACATCGCCAAAACTGACAGAAGTTATTAATTCATGAACATTGTTGACAGAGCTCTCAATCTATATATATATCATTAACCAAATCAAAAATTTGCATATACATCGCGACTTACATTTAGGACTAGTTTGGAATTGCTCATGTAGAAATTTTTTTTTTGCTCATAAGCGCTTCTGTTAGAAATGTTTTTATTAGAAACACATTGCACTTTTTATTAAACATTTTGATTCCTACAGAAGCACGAAATCATTTTTATCATTTCAATTTTTTCTGCTAAACGCAATCAAAAACACTTTTAGTTGTCATAAAACACTTTTAACATTTCCAGAAGCAATCTCTACAAGTTATAAATACTAAAACCTATTTAAAATAAATAAGATACCCCAATTAATTTTGAAACAACCACAACATGAGATAAGCAAAGAACAAAACGATTCCAGAAATTTATTAAAATAGCAAAACAACCCTTATACCATGTTTTTTATTCATAAATTGATAGAAATTAACCCAAATAACAAAAAGAGAAAAAATGTTTCAAAAGCAAGAACTCACAGCCCAGTAATGCTTATTGCTGATATTCCAGCCACCATTGTATTTCTTGAACGCGTCGAGAGGGTCTCTCCGCCGTGTCCTCTGCTCAGCCAATAACATGACAGTCCTGTTTTCTCCATCTTTTCCTTCAAGAAACCTCCTTGCAGCTGTGTCCCATCCCACCACCCCGTGAAACCCTACGCTCCCTCTCTCGCCGCCTACCTCTACCGCTGCAAACGAAACCAATTTAAACCCAAAAACACATTAAACATAAAAGAACGTAATCCCTACAATTTTTTAAAAGAAAATAAAAAACACGAAATCACAACCATTTCGACGAAAGTAAAAAAGGTGGGCATGAATGTCAAATGTCATGCATGGGTACCTGTTCTTCGTATGATGTTGAAAAGGTCAGGAGTACCGGAAATTAAAGGAACGAAGAGGAAAATGGAAAAACAAAGAACGGATATTTTCCATGTGTTTGATCTGAGGCATGACATTATGTTTTCGATTTTCGGGTTTTTCTATGATTTTTTTGGTGTTGATGTGAGCGCCGAACGACGTCGGATGATGATTTCCTCGACCTACTGTGGCTTTTGAGGTGGAGCTGGGGAGCGGGAGAGAGACGAGGACCCGCGTACATTTTGTGCAGAGGGAGCTATTTGTATGACGCGGTTTACACTCATAACTAACTGCACATAAATTTTATGGAATGAAAAACACAGAATATATAGACTGTGCGAGAGATTAACTATTTACTATTATTTTTCAGCTGAAGTATTTGTTTTCTAAACAAAAATATAACATACAAAAAAGAAAAAAGAACGAATTCGTATGACATACAAACAAATCCAACGGTTCACGTATCTATCTATACCCTAGTATGGAAAAGTGATCAAATCCGTTAAACTTAAACTTGTCTTCGTGTCTAATACGAGTTTTGTACAGGTACACTGTTCAAAAGGATAATGAACAAGATTTTGAAGTAAAAAATAAGATCACATTTTTTACAAAACAGTAACGAATTTATTGAAAATTAAGGGGAAATTACAATCTTCAGTAAGTGGAATTTATTGAAAATTAAGGGGAATTACTATTTTCAGTATGGCGATTTTACTGACAAAACACTATTATTTAGCTCAAAACATGAATTACACTAAGAACATCTCTATTCATGCTCTCTATTTTCAAATCAAATTTTTGCTAACGGGACTAAAAATTTATTTTATGAGCCACCTATAAAATTTTAACGCCAACCATATTGTCTAATTTAGGGAGTCATAAACACGAATATAATTATGATGAATACAACGATGATGTTTCATTTTTTTAGGCATATCCACTCGGTTTATATATGTCAATCTTTTCATAGTTTTTATGTTTTATTTTTCCAGGGTTTTTGAACGTTTAGAGTTTCGTATTCTGAATGGCAATATGATCAAACCCTAATTAAACATTCTGGACCTTTCTTCCTGATAGCTCAAGGAAAACCCTAGAATAGTTGCGGCATTAATGCAAACCCTAAATGGGCCCAATCTTTATGGGGCCTAAATGAGAACTTTGAACAGAAGTTGCATGAAGTTTCATTCTATAAGAATTCACCAAAAAAAAAAAAATATTTGCAACTCTCTATACAAAGTGAGAAGGCAAACAAGGTAAAGCTTTCAAAATCCAAAGAAATTCCCCTCCCTAATTAAGAATATCAAAATAAAATAATTTAATTAATAGGGATAGCCACTTAGTACTACGGTCTAATGGTATTCCTCTTCACTTCTAAGTGAGAAGTCTTAGGTTCAATTCTCGCCAAAGGCGAATTTGAACCGCATTATTGCTAGCCCATTGTGAGGGTAAACCCACCCCCTCCTGTTAGTGTAGATGATATCGTTTGTTAAAAAAAAAATTAATAGGGGTAAGCCACTTAGTACTATGATCTAGTGATATTCCTCTTCACTTGTAAGTGAGAGGTCTTAGGTTTGATTCTTGCCAAATGTGAATTTGAACCACATCATTATGGCTAGTCCAGTGTGAGGCTTAGCCCACTCCCCCACACCCTTAGACCTACTCCAACATTCAGAGTAAAACTCAAATTTTTGGTTCTAAACCTACCCAAACTTGCTCCAACCCTTTGGGGCAATTATGAGTTTTAACCAAAAGCTCTTTTTTGAGGCAAATTTAGGCCAGGATTCCCTCTGGATAAGTGGGGCTGGCCCACTATATATATATATGTATCTTTTTTAGTTTTATATTTATAAATTCATTGAATCCAACGGCTAAGATTTAATATGATCAAATTCCACAGTAAAAAAAAAATCTAACGGTCTAAATTTAAATCCAACGGCTAAAGTACTTAAAAAGAAATTTCATGTGTTTCATATTCTTTCATAATGTTCCATAAGTGGTTTAGTGAGTTTTCAATATTTATCGAAATCTAAATATTTTTAGGTAAAAATGTTCATAAAATTAAATTAGGATAATCTGCATAATATTTTTTAAAAGAAGTTACTTTAAGAAAAATATTATATTAAATTCATTCTTTAATAATTTTGGGCTAAAAATTTAACTCAGAAGGGTTGGAGAAAAAAAAATATTTATGGGTGAAAAATTTTAGGTTTTAACCTACGGATTGGATATACAATTTTTTGTTTTAAAAAAATAAAGGGGTAAAATTGTAAAATAAATCATTTTGAAAATTTTCAAACAAAGCACCACTACGTGGGTTGATCACCTTTTAAAAATTTTTTCAATAACTAAATATTAAGTAAGTTTTATCTATTTTGATAAAAATAATACTAATATATTTGACAAAAAAAATACTAATAATAAATAATAAATAAATAAAGCCAATTAGCACACGCAAGGCTAATTATTCGTAAAACATTTATATTAAAATAGTATTAGCACCTCATCATCATCCTTTAGTGAAAATATATTGTTGTATTAAAAAATATATATTAGGAGAATAATGTTTAATTGTACTACAATACTATAAAAAGTGGAAATGGTTTGCAATTGGTAGAGAGATTAGGTTAATTTGCACAATGAGTTAACCATAGGCTATCAATTTTAATACAGACATTATATATCTTTACTAATTCTGTGAGTCGAACCTAAAATCACTCGCTTATAAATAAAGAAAAATACCTTTGATGCTAATACTAGTTAGTAATCTTCAACAAACTTCGGTGAATTACTTAATTAATTTTGTGATTAAGTAGTGTTTGTATCTTTTCAATTGAAGGATTAATCAAACAATTGATATGGTACAATAAGATATGTACAACTAGGTTGTGACTATGCTTGTTACAGCTAGTAATAACTAGGATTAGTAATTCTTATCACAGCTAATCCCGGAAGGTTTGACTGGTCAAAATTAATTAAATAAATTCTGTCTCTTTTTGTCTGTCACACACAAAATCATGCACACACGTACGATATTGTTTTATAATTACAGTCAAAGTCCAAGGAAGACCATTTGGGCGGGTACTCATTAGGCCTTAAATTAAATCTGTGAATTGCATATTGAGTCGTGCAAGAACAGGGCAAATGTACTGGTAACCGGTTTGTGATTCAACCAGTCATGATAACCTTACTGTACATAAAAATTATTACACACATTTATAATTTTTTTTTCATCGAACGATAATTTAATTCATCTAAACTATTGAAAAGAATTTCAAACTTAAGTATAAAATCACGAGCAGAAGTAAAATCCAAATGTAGTATCATATAATTAAGATAATTAATTGTTCTCCTGATTTTACTTGTGCTCCTAGATCTAATGCTAGAAAGATTAACTATTTAGATCAAATTTTTTAAATCATATGACGCGGTTGTTGATGATTGAATTATTAAATGTTGATTAACATGTTTATTTCTTATTAATAACACATTATATGATTTACAAATTTAATCTAAAAATTTGGCCTACCTGGTATAACTCCTATTATGAATATACTTTAATTGTAATAAACAGTTGTACCATATAATATGAAGCATATGATCACAAGAACTAGAAGAGCCTCATCAAAATTCATGAGTAATTGAATCAATGATGAGATTAGTAAAATCATGAATCAAATATGACCTTGTTTTGGTCTAGTATAAAATATGACTTAAAAAAGAGTGATAAAAATGTACAGAACAATAACTTGGAATTGGGAACCACGTGATCACCTTAAGACAAAACACCCCGACCAAGTGATTAATTAACAAGAATTAAACTTCAAATTCGAGAAAGAAAGAAAGAGCTAATGTAATTATTTAATTAATCAAAGCATTTGAAGAGTTCAATTCAATCAATTAAACTGAAAATTGTAATATTGAGCTTTGTTAAAAAGTTGGTTGATTATACTAACACAAAGGAGATCTACGAGGAATGCGTTTTCTTCTACTGATCATGCTTGTGGCCATGTCCTCGTCGGAAACTTTATGAGCCGATCTTCCACATAACGATGCGTAATTAAGCCCGCTTCTCTTTTTTCTGACGACATCATGATGCATGTACGCCATGTGCATGGTCATGCTCATGGTCTCAGATCCAGATGATGATGACGAGCTCATCGGGTCATCAAGGTCCACAATTGTGGAATGAGGGTTGGTCTGATCACTGGTCATCTCCTCGTCTCCCACATCGGAAAGTGGAACTAAGAAGTCAGGACTCAGTTGAAGGGAGTTGCATGTTTTCAAGTAAGGAGAGAGGTCTTTCTTGAATTTAAGCACGTAATCCACCTGATTAATCATTAGAATCAACATGTTCATTAATTAACTAAAGCTTTTCAGTATTCATAAACCAGGTAAAATTTTCAGCTATATAAGTCATTTTCATAAACCAGGTAAAATTCAACTATATAAGTTGTTTGTTGTCACATAACATATAGAAGCAAAGGTTTTAGTTATTTATCTGCATGCACGGAACAAATTAACGCAAAAAGTAAGTAAAATAAGTTGGGAAATTGGTTAAAAAATCAAAAATCAAAATCTCAATGGTTAAGTCAATCAAAATTAAAATATCAACAATATATGATCAAAGTTCAACGACATAGCAATTAGATAACGATAACATATTGAAAAATGATTGTTTCAGTAACTAGGATTGGAAAATTGATTATTTTAGCCAATTTCCAAATATATTCGTAGTTTTCGTTACCTTGCACCCGAGAGAGCAATGGATATAAGGCTCTTGGAGACTTCTGTCACACGATGTGCAGTAGTTTCCAGAACCCTTGAATTGCCGATTTTGAGGTCTTTTCTTGATGAACACTACTTTAGCACTATTGATGGTATATGCCTAAAACAACAAACAAAGACTTCTATTGTCAAACCAACTGAATTGAAATGGCAGAAGTCAATCAATTAAGCTAGACTGATCATTTTTTGGGCACTAACCTGAACGTTGGAGCAGTCGATGAGCTTCTGAAGATCTTCCAATCGGACAACGTCATGGTAAACATAACGGCGAATTTGAAGGAGCCTGTGGAATCGATGGGAGGGAAGGCAATGG